TTTCTTCAAAACCCCCACCCGCTGTGAGACATCACAGGCTACCACTCAAATCACCTCCTGTTAGGGTTTAGGGCTACGCCCTAAATTCCCACCTCGACAAGATTGTCTTCTTGCTTCTAACAACATGACGGGCCCGGCGCGAGCGGAGCCTCAGAGGCCTGGAGTCTTCCATTTTTCAGGGGCGAAGGCCCCTGCACCTTTAGGCTAGGGACCAGGACAGCTGCGCCTCCCGATGTACGGGAAGAGCCGGGAGAGGCTCTATACGTCCACTCTCCATAGGCTCCTCCCATTATCTTACCCAGTACGCGTGTAAAGGCTGACGTGTATCTTCAGTGTCTGACCACCCTAGTAATGGGTGGGGACGGCCTAAGCAGGCCGGGTGGGAATTTAGGGTTTAGTGCTTAGAGCTTAGGGCCGAGGGTTTAGAGCTTAGGGTTCCCAGGGATTAAAAAGGAATTACTGGGGTTGCCCGAAAGATTGCGTGGCAATGATTTTGAGAAACTTCCAGCCAAATGTCAGGGGCCGTACCCCGCTTTCCAAACCTAAACCCTAAACCCTAAACCCACAAAAGATTCTCCAGCCGTGTATCTCTGCATAATCTGAAACCCAAGGATTCACGCACATGCCCCAAACAATGAACCCCCGAATGCCCTCACGCCGCTCGCAACCCCACATCAGTGGTTTTTTTGCGGGGTCCCTAACAATTCAGGACTACCAGGTCCATATGAGCTACAGTTTAAACTCCTAGTATCCCCCTGAATAAGCCCTATAACAGTACCCTATAAACCTTGTATATAACCCCATTAAAGAGTGTAGATTATAGCTCAGATTGGGATCCCTTATGGCAATCCCACAAAACCCTCAGACCCACCGGCCCCCAGACTCTGTCCTGAGAACGTGAGGGCTTCGGCCTTACGGCGGTTTAGCGGTTTGGGCGGTTTAGGGTTGAGGGTTTAGGGTTTGGGGTATAGGGTATAGGGTTTAGGGTTTAGTTTAGGGTTTAGTGTATAGGGTTGACCGATGCGTCAGTGTTGCGGCTATCAAGGACACTTCAGGGTTTTAGCTTTTGTCACCTAAAGCCCTTACATTCGGGGACAGTACTTGGACTCATTCCATCCCGGACCACCCCGACGGATCCAAAAAATGGAACGCCCCGAATATGAACCCATTACTACATTTGGGAACCTGGGGATATATTAGGGGGTTCCATTTTGTGGATCCTTTAGGGGGTCTGGGATTGTGTGGCTCTACATGATGAGTTCTTCCTCGACTTGCAAGAGCATAAGGTATAGCGACGTTCTAAGCCCCACTAGTTGGGTACGTGCTTGGACTGTTAACTGTTCAGTTGAGCATGTGGGCCTATAGAAGTCTAGGTCTAGGGACCTAAACCCAAAGCCCAGTCTAGTGATTTTGGGGTCCGTGGTGACGACTTGACTGAATGCAGATGGGGGGGGGGGTAATACATGCAGCAGCCAGCACCCAAGGTTGAAGCAGGGATTGCACCGTCCGTCCTTTGTGTATAGGCTTTTAGCCGAATGCTGGCAAGAACCTTGATCAGTTCCACAATCGAAATCGGAGCACACAAAAGGACAAACAAACAACGGCCCCTTCAAGCATGTTGGACTGTAGCTACTTGAGTTTGAGGGTCTGGATTGCAGAGCAAGACAGAATTGAAGCTTCTCCACCTGAAGGTATGGGATGTTATATGAATAAAGGTTCTACTTGCATATATACCCCAAATGCTATAATCCCTATTAGAGGCATCTTCACAGCTTTTTGTGGCATTTGGGGGATCAGGTTGATGACGCAGAGGTGGGCAAAAGACTTCGGGTTTAAGAGTTTAAGGGCTTCGGGTTTGGGGTTTCTGCTTCTTGGGGTATATCTTCTCAACGTCAGGACGCGCAATGCGCAAGAGGTTCTCAACATTGCTCATGCGGTTTTTGGGGTAAGGGCCCAAATCCTAAACCTTCATCCTAAACTGGTGATCTGACCCAATTGATGAAGTGACGATACACAAGCCGAAATTTCATGGGAACACTCACCACCTTCTCTTAAGGATTGGGCCCATGTTGTGCCCACAACCCTACTTATAGCCCCTCTCACTGACCGTATATCGGTTACCTCAAGAACCAATAGATAGGATTATATACAGCCGCAGTTCCAAGTAGTTACTGAGTCCCACAAACCTGAAGTAACGTATCAATGGAGTGGATGATCATCAAAGCCCCATGGCATCATCTACAACAGTTGCTATCTGAACGCCCCCACTGCCTCCTACGCGACAGTAACCCGAAAACCTAACCCTAAGTACTGTAGTAAGTTTCGGGCTTTGTTTCCACTCCCTATACCTTAAATACCCTAACCCTAGACCTAGAAACCCTAAACCCTAACCCTAAACCTAGAGTCCCTTTTAGCCCAGTCTCCAATCGCAGTACCGGCGGAGCATCAGATGCCTCCTGGCAGCTTGAGGTGAGGTGGCTTTAGGATTTGAGGTCTAGAGTCGTAGAGGTTTAGGGTTTAGGGGTAGCAGTCTCCCTTAAGTAGGTAGGATATGGAACTCCCTGAAATCATAGTGAGCTGCCCATATACCCTAATCTCTATCTGCTTAAGGGGGTTTAATCCCTTCCCCCAAATGTCAAATGCCCCCCTAATATGAAAGCATAAATCGAAGGGCCTAAAAATCCTGAAGAGCACTTCTAAAAGGGCAGGACTACTTTTAGCAGGGGCCACGTAATAGTGAATAGGGGGCAGTATAATGAGGAATCGAAAGGAACTAGGGATCGCTTGAGTTCCTAGGTTTCAATTGCTTTTTGTATAGCTTATCAAGGAAGTTATATGAAACTTAAATTCGGCTTTAACTGAGTTTTGAGCAGGTGTTAATGGAGCGTAATACGCTGTTGAACCGATTTTCAGGAAAGTCTAGCTAGGTTCTGATCAGATTTCATTGATTTTAACATGATCTGAATTGGATTTTAGGTGCATTTCAACCGATTTTTGAGTGGATAGTAAAACATATTTGATATTAGAGGCAGCCCCGTCTAATTCTTTCAGAATAACCCCCACTATACTACAAAATGATTTTCCGGGGCCCGTAGCATTCAATATCACAGGGGGGGACGTCGTTTAATGTCCGGGGAAGGGATTATAGCCCCTAAACCCTAAACCCTAAACCCTAAATAGTAGTTTCCATGATATTTTCCATTATCCCAATATAACCCATTAGGGACATGCAGGATTTAGGACCTAGGGTTTCCCAAAATTAGGGGTCCATTTCAGGGGTCCCGGTAGTAAGGATCCTGTTTTGGGGGGGTCTATATTTGGCAGCGCAATTTTCGGGAACTGCCATCCCTCAGTGAACAGAATACGGAGCGTAAAGCCAGTGCATCACGCCTGGCAGGGACCTCAACCTTTAAGCCCTGAGCCCTCACACGGATACATTGAGCTTGTTTAGGGCGGGTGTTGATCGCCCACCTTCATGCTGCCACTGGACCCTTCCTACCTATGGCACGGACAGGTCGAAACTATGTTCCCATTCAGAGCCACGCTCGAACAGCTGGCAAACACATTGGAGCTCCAACAAGCGCCTGAAAAGAAGGCACTGATTCCACACAGTGAAAAAGCCAATCCAAAACCAACCTTTTCCTAATATGGGTGGTTGTCAAAATTATGGTCCCTTTTTGGGTCCCTATTCTAATACGGCACCTAATATTTAGGGTACCCAAAAAGGGACCACAATGTTGACAACCACCCATATGGTCATAGAATACCCTATTTCGGGAATTTAAGCCTCTACATCTCATGTCTGGTAATTCCTTTCCCTGAAGCTCCACAGATCCCAAAGCACGCACGCCTTGAGAGGCTCATCAGGCACCTCCTCAACTTTTTGGTGGTAAGGTTTAGGGTTCAGGATTGCTACCCTCCAAACTGACCATTGCTTCACTCCCTACTAACCGCCTAAACCCTAAAACCCGAAAACCCTCAGCATCTAGCTTGAGTCGTACAGCTTCGTGGATTGTGGGCTAAGAGCCATGATGAACCAAGCATCTTACTGCATCCTGAGGGTCCTGTAGGAAAAAAATCACCACAAAAAGTGATAGGTTTTAGTAGGACTTGTTAGGGCTTATAGAGATTTTGGGCTTACTAGGGCTTGTGAAGATTGAGAGCTTACTAAGGTTTAAGGCTGAGGGTGAAGTATCTGGGGGAGCTTGTCGCTTTGAGGATCCAACCTTGAGCATGTTGCCGGGATCTTGCGAAGACCCCAGGATCGGGGGTTACAAGGCCCCAAAACAGAACAAAAGCAGAGCAAGCATTCAAATGCCAACCATCGCGATATGCCCAACATCAGCATGGAACCATAACCTAAACCCTAAACAGTAGTTTCCATGTTATTTTCCATTCTCCCAGTATAACCCCAATATAACCCCAAAAAATACAGACAGCAGTCCTTACAGGACGCTTTTCTTGAGTTCCATATCAGCTTGGGGGAGGGTAGTCGGGGCCCACGTCCTGAGCAAAAGCACTGCATGGCATGCCCAAAATGAAGTTCGCAGTATCCTGGAGACTTAACCCTAAACCTGATCTCCGAGAAAAAGCAACCAAACCAACCATTACTGTTGACACTAGACATCCTGCATGACTTTAGTATGCTAGAACGTCATAATTCTCAAGCTATATGAACTGTACTGTAAACTCCAGTAATACTCTCCTACATAGTCCCCTGTACAAACCCCTTTAAAGAGTTTAGACTATAGCTCATATGATATCCGGCGTAGCGGGAAAAGTGTAGTATCAACAGTAGCACTCGAACTTCAATCTCAAGCCACGAAGTGTGCGGGATTGCAACTGCGAGCTCCCAGCCCAAAGGGCTTAGGGTTTAGGGGCTACCAGTTTAGGGGCTTCTTGAATTAAATCTTCTCAACAAACACCTATACAATCCCTTAACCTCACAAATTGCGGAAGAAACCAGGTCCCTGTTGTAGTTGTTAATACAAGGGAACTCATGAACCTCAAAGTATAAGGGATCCCAAACATCGACCTGGCAAACCTTTCTGCGTACCCCTTTTTTCACAGATCCTCAGCCCAAAGCCCGAAAACTCAGCCCAATAAACCCTACATACCAATTCTCCTCTCAAATCTCCTCAAAACCCTGAACCCTCTTCTCCACACCTTCAAGCAAAAGAAAAACTTACACCCCAAACCCTATACCCCAAACCCCACACCCTAAATCATGTACCCGAAAGCCCATACCCTAAACCCTGTTTCAAACGGGGGGGTTTGCCAAAACGCGTCTTGCCTTCAGGCGCTTCCTGTCCCACTAATCCAAGTTGCGCCCCTTTAGTCCAAGCTGGGGAGGAGTTCTCATTTAATCTCATCATCACCCCATTAGTCCAAGGATCGGTCCAGTTAGTCCAAGCTACTCCCAAGGTAGTCCAAGCTGGTGAGGAGTTCTGAATTAATCGTATCATCGCCGCATTAATCCAAGGATCAGTCCCATTAGACCAAGCTACGCCCCGTTAGTCCCAGCTGGTGAGGAGTTCTGATTTAATTCTATGCAACTTCCCGGTCCGCAGTGCTCCATGGTTCGGTTCCGTAGTCACCGTTTGATGTTCCTGTTCGGATTCTGTTCTTATGCTTTGGCACTCCTTTCAGTCTTGCCCTTGCAATGAGCGACAGCGCATGCCCTCGGTGGCGCCTACGTTCATGGACTCCGACACGGTCTCAAGCTTAACTGGGCTATAGTCTAAACTCGTTAAGGGAGATTATAGAGGGGGTTATATTGGGGATTACTATAGTGGTTATTAAGGGGGATACTAGGAGTTTAGACTATAGCTTATCTGCCTGCCGAATTGAGCACCGCGAGGCGCGCAGAAAAAATGAGCTTCTCCCCGCACTCTCGCCCTGATCAGGGCGAAAGCTTCGATCTCCGAAGAAACCTCCTCGGTAGTTGCACTTGGCCCCAACATGGACCCAGGCAACCCTCTGCGGCTTCAGAAAATACTGCACAAACCAATATTTTCAGCACTTCGAATCATGTAAGTCAGTAGTTATACCTTCTGCCGCAAACATGTGGCTCGCAGACTTCAGAACGCATAAATCCGGGTAAACCCTCCCGGTTGCGCCTAAACCCTGAACCCTACACCCTAAACTTGAAGCCCCAAACCCTAAACCCAAAACCGTAAACCCTAAACCCAAAAAAGGTAGTTTCCATGTTCATTTCCATGATCCCTATATATCCCCTATATCCCCCCCTTTAGGGAGTTCATTAAGTAGGTTAATAACCCTTCTAAACCATATAGTAACCCAAGTTATCCCCAATCTTAACCTACTTATTAAGTCCCCCTGACCCTAAACCCTAAACGCTAAACCCACCCTTCACTCTTTAGAGGCCTCGATTTTGCTCCCCGGAGCCGAGCGGATGAGCCGCTCGGTGAAGAACTCGTCCAGCGAAGGCGGCCGGCCTCGTTAGTCTGGCTTAGGGCCTACGGTTTAGGGATTAGCGTTTAGGGTTATAAGCTATAAGGCTCAGGTTTGAGGGTCTGGGGTTTAGGGTTATAGGCTTAGGTTTGAGGGTTTAGGGCCTAGGGTTTAAGGTGTAGGGTTTAGTGGTATACAGGGATTATACAGGAGGAGGTGTGCAGGGATATGCAGGGGAATGGAAAGGAACATGGAAACTAGCATTGAGGGGTTTAGGATTTAAGGTTTAGCGTTGAGGATTCAAGATTTTGACCTGAGGTTTAAGCTTCCATGATTCAGGGCTGCTGGGAGCTTAAGGTTGAGAGGGTTTAGGGTTTAGGGTTGAGAGCTTAGGGTTGAGAACCTGCAGACCTCAATATTTTAGTAGTTCCCATGTTTTCCACTCCCTGATCTGTCTGTACAGTAACTGTTAGGGCTCTGATTATCATAGGGCTCCCCCAAAAAATGACTTCGGGATCCTCCTGCAAGTCTTGGAGAGAATACTTCTCAGGGCCGCAAGATGTCGACATGCCGCTAAGAAAGTTACTCAACACGATGGGCTAACTGTACCCTCAAAAATGGGGAACAGTTCTCAAAAATCTTAGTCTACTGACGACGCACCCTAAACCCTAAACCCTAAACCCTAAGATAAGGTTGTTGTTCTTACCACCCCTCCTTCCCACTTGCTGGTTCGAACTCTCTGTGAAGCCTGGCGCAAGTCCTATCACTTCTGCCACGGGTTGGCTTTGGGGCTTTGGGAAGTAGGGTTTAGGGTTTTCCTGTTTAGGGTCGTTTAGAGTTTAGGGTTTAGGGGGTCATGCCGGAAAATCCAGTGATGAGCTAGTCTCAGTCGGTTGCAGTCTGCATGATCAGCAGTGCCTCTCCGACTTTTTTCATCTTGCGAACTGCATGCATGACAAGCTGCCCTAAACCCTGAACCCTATAGTCCGCTCTAAGTAGATAGAATATGGCTTTGGAGATGTTATGATAAGATCCCCGTATACCCCATGTTCTGTCTGCTTAAGGGTGGCTATAAACCCTAAACCGTCGGGTCCGTGGCAAATCCACAGATACGAGTGCTATGGAGCTGTCGTAGACAACAGGCCGAGCCCTGGTCTTATATTATCCCAAACGGCCCGTTCAGGTTTTTGATAACTTATGTGCTTCATTCTACAACCCTGAACCTGCTGTCCGAACCCCAGACCCTAGTGTTGATACTAAAGATCACGCATGACCTTAGTATAACACCGTACCATGATTCCCAGGGTTTATGCTACTTAGGGTCATGCAGGAGTTTTAACATCCACCGTAGGTGCGGCACCAATGTCAAGATCGATGAAGGTGTTCTTCACGGGCAGGTTCTGGCACAGGCTGGCACTGAGTCATTTGGTCTGGTCTAAAGTTCGGGCTCCGCGCAAAACTATGGTTCGGGCTAGAGGATGCAAAAGATCTGCGGATGTTGGTTAGTTGAGAGCACATGTTATGGTACTTAAAACAGAAATGCGGGTCACAGTAGTAATGATGACCCTACCAACACAGGTGGTAAACCCTGAACATCAACATCCGCTCGCACAGCCGCTGAAGCCAATAGTGTCTAGGGGCTTCAGTGGGTATGCGGCAACCCTACATAGTACTACATGGGCCTCGTACAAGGGCCACTTGTGGTTTAAAAGCACTCCTTCTTCATTCATGCGTACATTGCATCTGGGCTCGAGTGTGGGGAATTTAGTCCCCGAAGCGCAGATCCCTTTCTCGGATTCCTCTAGTCGCACACTTGATTGCAAGTGATTTTCTCAGACATGATGCCAGACCAAGGCTAAATGAGCTGCAAGCGTAGCAAGGCTTATCTGGCAGCTCGAAACACCAGGATGAAGACCCTTTACCAGTCCTATGATAGTCATGGCCTGTCGATTTTGAAGGTCAGGATCACTAAGCAACCCTAGCCGGCAGGCAGGTATTCAGAAAGCTGTTGAAGAAAATGTCATATATTTTCCCCTTTGAAACCACACCGTGCCTAAGGCTTTCAAAGCCTAAACCCTCAAACCTAAGCCTATAACCCTAAACCCCTATGGGTTTGGGGTTTAAGGTTTAGGGCCTTAACCCTAAACCCTACAATGCACAGAAAGACTGGGAGCCCGCACCGCGTTGTTATTCGAATCTGCCGTGCTGACGGAGGAAATTGTCGGTACGCGCCTTGGGAGCACTTCGGGTGAAGCGGTCCATGGGTATTCATTCATTCGGTTTAGGGTTTAGGGTTTAGGGTTTGGGGTTTGGGGTTTAGGGTTTAGGGTTTTAGGGTTTAGGGTTTAGGGTTTAGTGTTTAGGGTTCGGGCTTGGGTCTGGGGAATACTTGTACTTAAATTACAAAACCAACTATGGACCCCCTAAGCCCCCTTGCTTATTTCAATCCGTTCATAGCTGTGATTAGAGTTGGGCTACAATTACTAAACCCTCAGTACCCGTGCGTCTATAAATCCGCAGTTTCGATTTCCATGTGATTCTCCATATTGGGGTAGTGTCAGTGTCCCTAAAACCGAATCCTAAACCCTAAACCCTAAACCCTAAAACCCTAAACCCTGAACCCTGAAACCCTAAACCCTACAGGATCCCAGTGAGCCCTGAGCGTCCCCAGGCCTGAAATGATTCTCCCAAGCCTTGTGAAACCTGTGCGCGTCTTCTGAAAAATCAGACGGGCCCATTTACAGGGTATATAGGGGATAAAGAGGGATTCTTCTGGTGCAGAGCAGGATATCTTGGGCTTAGGAATTTCCCAAATTCAAGGGTCCTTTTATGAGGGTCCCTTTGACAAGGATTATGATTCTCGGTGCCTATAACGGGGCGCACCATATATGGAATCTCCCACGTGCACTGCCCTGTTACAAACAGCAGTGAGCACAGAATCCTGATTGCTTCCGCGTATCTCTCCCAAGACTGCTGAAGGTTCTTCCAGCTGCTGCAGTTGCACTACGCCAGCTGCGTATGTAAGGCAATTCAAACTATGGCCCCTTTCTGGGTACCCTGCATCTACCTGATTTAGCGGCCGAATCATAATGAGGACGCAAAAGGGAAACAGAATTCTAGCCACCTTCCGAATTACTCGGGCTACTTGCAACATCTACAATTACGGGCACCCTAAACCCTAAACCCTAAACAGTCTCTGTTCAATGGTGATATGTGGCAGGCTACTGGAACCCCCCACAGCTCAGCCGCAGAACACGCACCCTAGATGTCTTATATGATTCTCGCTATATATGCAGGATAAGGCCACGTAGGGATGATCTGGGTTTGGGGAGAGTACCCCATATTAAGGAGAATTAAAGTGACGAAAAAGGAAAATGATATGGAAACTGGGATGATAAAACGGGTTGAGGGTTTAGGGGCTAGCCAAGTGGGTTGGGAAACCATAGTCCTGTCTATAATGGCTAATATAGGGGACTAGAGGGCGTCGCAAAAGTAATGTAAAGGCTTAAAGTAGAACATAAATGTATGGGTTCTTTTGCAAAAAATCAGGTTCTTACAGTTAAATCCCCTAAACCCTGAACCTTCACCCTAAATTACACTAAACCATCAACCCCAAATCACCCTAAACCCCTAAGCCCCTAAACCCAAGACCCTAACATAGGGGCCTAAATAACTACCAATATTATGGTTCCATATTCCTCATATGATTATGGTCTACGGTACCTCACATGGACCTCAAAATGATATTGGTAATTATTTAGGCCACTGTAGCACACCATGAGCCCTGACCTGACCTGTCCTTCAATGCTGGATGGTGCACATGTCCAGGTGAGCGCGGACACGGGACCCGCCAGCCACTGGGTTGCTCTTAAGGAACTGAGTTTAAGGTACCAGAATCGGGATATATAGGTTCAACTGGGGCTTAAGTTACCATATTATGGGTACATAGTAAATAACGGGGCTTCCTTATCATGGTACTTTAATGTACGTTCCTTAACAGCAACCCAGCTCATCTGAGCCTGAGCCCCGTTGCATGGGTCAATAGGCCTTGGAGGAAAGCCTGATAGCTATAGTCCCCCTTAAGTAGATAGAATTTGGGGTATATGGGGATCTTCTTATAATATACCCAAAGCCATATTCTATCTACTTAAGGGGGACTCAATCCTGTTTCTGATATCATGCCAAAATTCAGGAGATGCTTTTTTCGACGCCTAGAAATACTTGTATACCCCCCTGTAACCCCTCAGACACCTTTTGAGGGAGTCCTTAATTTGGGACACTGAAGAAGCTGAGCTAAGAAACCCTCAACCCTAACCCTCAAGCCTAAACCCTAAATAGTCGTTTGTTTTTTTTCACCACTATCCCAGCATAACCCCACTGTAACCTTAACATTACCCTAAACCCTAAGTGAACGCCGAAGTCCAAACCTTGAATCTGAATCTGGGCACAGCAGCGTCAGGTGGCGCTTAGCCGCAAAGTCACCAGACGCCTGACACGCTTAGGGTTTAGGGTTTAAGGTTCTCGCCTTTTACAGACCTGAAGTACATTATCGTTTTTGGTGATTTGAAACCTGAAGCATGTGCTATTCTTGGTGCTTTTGTAGTAGTGTCACGTCTGTTATTAGTGGGAAGTGTACTACTGCTCACAAGTCGAGATGAGGAATGGGTGACAATCCTAACAGCACGGCAAGCCACGGATGTCTCAAGCGTCATGGATTTAGGACTCCCATGTCATGCCCTAAACTCTAAAGCCTAAACCGTAAATCCTAAACCGTAGATCCTAAATCCTAACCCCTAGATCCTAAGCCCAAAATCCTAAACCCTAAGCCCTAAATCCTAAACCCAAAATCCTAAACCCTAAGCCCTAAATCCTAAACCCAAAATCCTAAACCCTAAACCACACTCACCTGTGGGCAGATCGTGCCTGTGGTTCTGGCGGAGCCATTCTTTGTCGATCGAACGCCCTAGCCCGCGCAAGTTGTGGAGCTGGGGTAGCATTTGGGGTTCAAGGTTTAGGGTGGACAGCCTTTATTGAAGAGACCCTCCATAATGTCTTTTGGGGGCCTTTGTTCAGGAGCAAGGCGATGATAGAAGGCGCCCTTGAATTTGCCCTGGTTTTGGGCTCCTGTCGGAACTGAGACAACCCTAAATGCTAAACCCTAAATCCTAAACCTTAATCCCAAACCCTAAACCCTAACCCCTGAAACCTAAACCCTAAATCCTAACCCGTATTAAAAGACCTTGTTTCCCATGTTTTCTAGGGTCCCTGCTGTCATAGCAGGACTATAAACTGAAGAGTTTCCCACATTAAGCATGGTTTACGGATGTCATTTCACATCTTTGGGCTCTAAGAGCTCGAACAAAGCCAGCTACTTGAGTAGCGTTTTTTTGGTGGTTGAACCTAGTAAGATTATATTCCTTATATAAAGTACTATACCCCGAAGGAGCATATATAATCTTACTCTATATTGGGTACCATAGTATCCCCAAATAGAATACTACACACTTGAGCTTGAACTAAAACCCTCCGATGGGCTTGAAGGTCCTGGAAACCCGTAGCATGTAGATTCAACGAATGCGCAACCTCATGTTGGCGGCAATCCAATGCCCAGTGCGCATGCTCTAAAGGAAGCTGAAAACCTGATCCGAATGGAAACCACTATTTAGGGTTTAGGGTTTACGGCTTAGAGCTCTGTTGAACTCCCGGACACACCCCCTAAATCCTAAACCTTGAAATTTAAACCATCATCTGCATGAAGTCTTGACAACACAACCCTTACCCGGCAATTTGTTGTCAGGAATTTGTCGGATCCGTGTGTTGCAGGGAGCGTGTCCTCTGGAATTTAGGATGCTGTGGTTGCATGGAGGGGGTTGTCGGAATTTGGGGTACCCTAGATATTGAGGGGGCCCCATGATAATAGGGACTTAGCAAGAAACCATGACTTTGACAGTACATACTGTATACCTGCAATTTGCCAGAAGTCTTTAAACCCGTACCTCTTGACCATCAACGCCTCTGCAGATAGGCCTAAACCCTAAGCCTTGATCAAAACCAGGCCAAACAAATTGGAGCAGTCTGTACAAGCAACCCTAAACCCTAAACCCTCAACCCTAAACCCCTAAACCCCTAAACCCTAAACCCGAATTCCCCAGCCTCCTTGGAATAGCGTTCCCCGCGGCCCCCGTAAACCCCTCTGAAACTCGAGCCGCAAAGGCAGAAGTGGTATAGGCATTATACAGGGGTTGGTTTAGGGTTTAGGGTTTAGGGTTTAGGGGTTTAGGGTTTAGGGTTTAGGGTTTAGGGGTTAGGGCTTAGGGTTAAAGAGGGTTGTACGGATGCACAGTCTATGTATACATGTCATACAAGGTTACGTAACGTTATATAGGAGCAAAGTAGGGTTATATAGGGATTACAGGGATTTAAAGCTACAGGTTTAAGGGCACCAGGCTGTCATATGGAAAAGCAAAATGAGCTACAGTTCAAACTCCTAGTACCCTATCCCCTTAATAGCCCCTATAATACTGCCCTATATAACCCCTTTAAGGAGATTAGACTTTCGCTCAAATGGAAAATTTAGATGAAAACTGGAACGCCTAGGCTGCTAGGGTTGATGATTTACTTGCAGGTTGGTGATAAGGAATGAAGTGAGCTATGGTCGCAACTCCTAGTATCCCCCTTAATAAGCCCCATACTACTCCCCTACATAATCCCCCATATAACCCCTTCAAGGAGTTTGGACTATAGCTCAAGAACCCTAAACCCTAAAGCAAGTGGAATTTCCCCACTATTGAAGTTTTCGGTTTTCGTGGAGGCTACGTACGATAAGAGCCTCTCGCTCTGAGTTTCTCTTGCCGCAAGCAGACACAAGTGAAGTTTAGGGTTTAGGGTTTAGGACAGAACTGGCCGTTGTGTATTGATTTCCAAGCCTGAACTGAAGCACACGTGGGACAAGAGTCTGTATAAGCCACGTTTTCGGGTGAGGTCAGGCGAGCTCCTAGTAAATTATTTGTCCAAACAAAGGAACTTGTATTGCGTAGTGATGCCATAGGACACAGAAGATTTTGCTAGGAGTACGAGAATATGACATTGATGCTGACAATGGAAACAGCAACATGCTTGGAATTGGTACATGCTTATTCCAGAAAAGAAGAAGAATAGCCGTTGATAAAAGCATTGTCGTGGCACATTGTCATTTCATCCCATCTGTGCTACTGCTACTGGTTCTTCATCAC